AAGAGATAAGGCTATCGAATTATTAAATGCAGCAGATGGAAATTTAGAAATAGCCCTTAATTTACTATTTGAATAAAAAATTTTTTTGATTTTTTTATGCGGTGCCAATTTGGTATTTGGTGGAAAATTTTTTATGTACAAAAAAAAAAAAATTTGACACTTTCACTTTATTTAAAAATCCTTTATATATTTTTATGTTATTTCATTATTATTTATATTTTCATTATAATAAATAAAGAAAATATTATATAGTTTACACGCAATTTTCTTAATAGGATCTAGCCGATTTTGTTAACCATAATTTCTAACCTTCTGCATATTTTTAAGCAGTTGCGACAGAATAATTTTCCAAAAACCTTGATTTGTTTTTTTTGCACGTTGAAACTAATTACTATAAAAATAATCATGCTTGACCAGAATTCGTCTGCAATAGAAATATGGTTAGTGGTTAAACCACTAACAGGTAACATAGCTAGACAAGGTAGCTAATTAAAAAACTCGGATTGCACGCTCGCAGTACATAAAAAATTATTTTCTTGACAAAAAAAAATGTTGATATTGGACACGTGATTTTGACTGCGAGTCTGATAATATTTACCACTAAATCCATGAACGAAGGCGTTGGAAGGAGAATTTTATGACAAGAAAAAAGACACATTTCCGAAAGAGCCACACCATCCGAGCTATTCGAGCTATGATAATTTTAATAAATTTCAAAAAAAAAAATACGGTGATTTAATACAATATCATACATCGCCCGCCTGATCACCAGTTACTCTTCTCCACAATATATTTGGCCAATTCGTTAATGAATCGTTCCAACTCCTGATGATATATTGGTCTCATAACCAAATCAAGAAGCGAATGTAATGATTTTATGGCTGTGAATGTGAACGAACGTGCAGCAAAATTTGAAAATTGATCTAAATATTGCGATTTGACATTTATGGCTTGCGAAATAAATAAAACAGGCAGTTCTTTATTTACAGGAAGCTCATATTATTATCCAAACAT